ATTAAAAGCCCCTAGCACCGAGATTCGAACTCGTAATTATTAGATCATATTTTCAGTCGTATGTGTGTAGATAGCTTCTCAGCCACCCTGCCCATCGACTCATCTTAACTGAACTAACTCTTATCCAAATTAAGAACTACAGGTAACAATATAAATTGTCAATTACTTCCTTGAAATTCCTCTTTCCACTTCCTTCATCTCCTCTACTATTCCTTGATATCGTACTCTTGAGGGGAGCAAATTTTTATAAGGTTATGGATTTTCGAAGAGAACTATATTTTTTTTGTGTTTCAATTTTTAGGGAACTTACGAACCACGAACAAGAGAAAAACATTGGGTACAATTTTCATCAGTTGTAGCACCGTTTGGAAGGAACGGACAAGAATAATTGGACAGAGGGAGAGGGCATGCGCGATCGTCCTTGGCGGGAAATGGGCACTCCAGTTAAGGAGACCTGAAATTGACTCTTGTAGTCAACCCACATAGCTATAATTAAAAAAGTATATAAAATGTAATGCGTAACTGTCATTATAAACATAAGCACTTTCAAATTCTTCACTGTCTGCTACTCGTTAACTATATGAGAAAGGTTTTATCGTGAATGATACTGGTAAGACCAAATAAATTCAAGGAAAAGGAGAAACGATAGCAGATAAACGGCCTATTGAAAGTATATCGAACCATCTAAGGAATGGATATTCTGGATTAAGAGAACATAATGTGAGTATATAGGATACAGCAAGTGGTATTCAATCCAAAAAATGGAAAATTAAATTGTCAGAGAAAATTTAAAAGATAGAAGCTAAAGACTGTAATACATTTAAAAAATACAAGAATAGAGTATCTAAAACTTTAGCAACAATAATATGGATTCATACCATTAAAATTCAATAAAATGAGCAGTGGGCAGTAGAGATATAATCAAAAGGGCTAATAACATAACCAACCAATATACCTATCATACACGGTCAAAGGGCTTTTAAAGCTACGCAATATCCAAACAGAGTCCAATATCTCAACTCCGTAGTCCTATTATTTAAAAGTAATTAATTCAGCAAATATTCAAGCAATGGAAAACATAAGAGGAAATACTGGGTACCTCGAAATCCGATATTAAACAAATAATTGAAAATTCCGATTCAGTTAAAAGGTCACTTTTCGACTCTAATGAACCTTTCCCGATAACAATTGGAAGAGGGGAGAAATAAAATATACAGCTGCGCCAATTAACGCAGGTTATTGCTCTCTAGAAATAATAAGCAAATTATTAACCATACATACTAACTGACTTAATAAAATACAATGTAACTTTGATAAAACAACATAGTTTAAGTTCATTACAATCAGGGTGAAAATTTTTGACTTGTCAATGTAAGGCGATTCAAACTAAATACAATCTGGTGCGCGCAACACACAACTTTCACTCTACTTTGAATAGTAATTATTTTCTGGCAATATTGGGCTATTATAAAATTTTTGAAGTGCATTTTAAACGGAGCTGAAGCTTAAAACATACAGATAACACAACATTAAGACCATTAAAATTACAAAAAGGCTACTTATTATATCAACGGTGGGCAATCAAAATCTAGTTACTCCATCTGCTTTTATGAACCACACAACTTCTTTCTCTGAGCCTTTAAGTTTACAGAATGACTCCAATTTCAAAATTTTGAGTAATATCATTTTCGTGATATTTCTAGTTGGAAAAGTTTATCTATACAGACAGAAAGTAAGTCGATTCCAGAGTAGGTGATTGCAGTGTAGAAATATAGAATTGTGAAAAATAGTATAAATTTTGTCACTAGAAACATCACTAAAATTAATTATAAAGAATGTTGAAATTGGAGTTAATCATTTTGTTAACTGAAAGGCTCAGATATGCCTAAAGAGATTTGAAAGTGCATCTGAATATTTAAACTATAAATGATTATGGATTGTAGAACTATTAGTTATTAAACTCTTATTTTCCATTGTAAAGTTTACTAAAATGAAATTACGAGATTTTCATTGCCTGCCATGGTTAGGACAAAAGTTGTCACACAAGTTGTAAGTGGATAATGTTGAGATTTCACAAAAAAAAAAAAAAATCATCAAATTATTCACTAATTTAATTTTTAAATAGGTTACTTGATTTTCTAGAATAAACGGCCAATAGATATCTAATTATTTAAATACAACATCATATCTAGAGTTATTAAACTACAGTAAATGTATTTAAGGTTATAAACATATCCATGAAATATTTTTATATTTCACTTCTTCTTTCATACAATGAAATAGTATTTTAAACAATGGCATTGGCTCGATTCGGTGGATTTTAAATACTTTTTTAAGTTTAGAAAAAAATTTTAAAGTTTAAATTTAGTAAGAAAATTTCATTTAATTTCCTTGGAAATATGTGATTTACGTTAAATAATGTTAGTTTTCTGAAATTATTATTTATAATGTTTTCGCCACTCTCCGTTACCTTCTACAACTTTCTATATTAGATATTGTTTTTTATAAAATTCTCATCTTTCCAACGATATATTATACGTATACCTTCTGACTAGTAATTCCGGAGATTCATTTTCGACCTGGGTAAACATTTTTTTTTTCTCCTTTATTCAATTATCAAATTCTTTCAAAAGTTATATTTAGCATGTTTTCATAACTTTTAATAATGTGAGCTGATTAATTATTTAAAATAAACCATATTAAAGGTAAGTACCAGAGGAAGACGTAAATGAGCATAAGGCATTAAAACCCAGTAAAGTGACATCAATGGGGATAAGACCTGATAGATATTAAAGACCACTTAATTATACAATGATACACCGAGTTTAATCAAGATCATTGTCACATCTGAGGTATATACTTATCTTAAATACGTAATATCAGTTTCTTAAGACTTTTCGTTTTTGAGCTAGATTACTAACATACACACACAGACCATTTTTCGGGACTTGATTATTTGGATTCGGAGGACCACAAAACGTGTATTTCCGTTGGAAACTCAGATTCATAAATTTTCACGATCACAATACTTACCCTTACTGTATATTACAAATATAGGTAAGTGAAAGTAATAATTAGATTTTGTACTCCTGAGGCAATTCTAATGGGCTATATAAATAGATAAACTAAGAGAAACACAGAGGGATCTAAAATTTATATAAGATTAACAAGACTTACAGCCTAACATCAAACGCATTGCATTTGAGTTCTATAATCAAAGCGAGGATTAACGTCACAAGGATGAGCGGTGCCGACAAAGGTAAGGCAGGATTTAATTAACCGAATAGCGATGGAAGTACTAAGGAATAATCCAAAAGGCACAATAAAGCCACAATTTAATTTATCATTCCATCAAAGCAGAAAAATATTAGTAGATTTTCACGAAACATCTAAAAATTACTTATTCCTCTCCTAAAAGCATGAAAATACCTCATAATTGAGTAACAGGACGTAACAAACGAAAATTTTAAGAAAATAACGCAAATATTACCTCAATATCCCTCAATACTGATGGTCCCCATCGAAACCCAAATCAATTAAACATCAAACAGATTCATTACGTATTAACATTTACTTAATAGTTATTGAGCAGTTATCTAATAAATTGGGTTTTTACGAATAGTTTGAAATGAAAATATTTTTTTTCCTAATCGAAAATTTCCACACGCGTTTATAAGAAATTTATTTTCCAGGAGTAGAGTATGTTTCGAAATCGGCACATCGTATGGATTTCATTATCAAACGATTTTATTAATTCCTCAAATTGAAAACAAATCATTGGCCTCGAATTATACCGTAAACGAAAGTAATATTAGGATCATCAGTTCAGTTTAAGAAAACATCATTTAATCTTACAATGTCTATTGGTAGATTATAGCTACTTAAAAATAAAGAAATTATTGCCCTGACATTTTCTTGACATCAGTCAAGCTTTTGATAAGGTATAGCAAGAAGTACTCCTTTCAAAGCTCAAAATTTTACTTCCTCCGGCTGACTATTTAATCAAAGATAAAATTTCCACATCAGATTCAGCCAGGCTTTAACGGTAACATTTGCTTATGATACTACACTCCTAAAAACTCATAAGAAATCTTGCAGTCGCAAATGAAAAAAAAATTAATTGAGCTACCTAAACGACGCACTTGGAATCCTCATACAAGACTGAAACGAAAAGAAACTGCTCGACTTTTTCGACTATGCTCTAAACTTCCAATTATTTACAAAAGACCCATTTATGTATGTGACTATAATAAAGCCAATCCGGACTTACGTAATTGAGATTTGGAGCTCCACTAAACCATCGAATTCCTGTCGTATCCAATCCTTACAATCCAAAATCCTTCGTAAAATCCTCAATGCTCCTTACTTTGTCACAAATAAAATCATTCATAACAACCTTAAGGAACCACATGTTTCCGCTTTAGTCCAATCCAGATACCTATCCTTCCCTAACAAACTTCAAAAGCATCCTAACCCTCTCGTTTCAAACCTTGCTTCCTCTTCGATACCTGATAACCCTCCAAGGCTTCTGAAAAGAAGATGGCCTCGTGATCTACTTATGTAATTATATTACTAAAGTGCTACCAATGGGTAGTTTCTCAACAAGCGTTTTCATGTGATTGTATTATTACTGTATGCACATTTACTGGATGTATTTTTAATTTATACAGTTGTAAATCTCATGAATAAATTAAAAAAAACAAAAAACATAGAGCTACCAGATGGAAAGTGTATGTGAAGTGAAACCTGTATTCATTATATAAATGATCTTTTATACTCTCAGTGGTAAAGCTTCTATACCCTCAGCAATCATAGGCGCAGACTATGTATGTGAGGATATAAAGATAGTTCTAAATCACTGAGAATAATTTAATAATAAATTTTTAAAAAATAGGTTTCGCAAATTGTTGATGTGACAGGTGGAAATAGGGCGGACTATGAAGAGCTGAGGGAAGAATGACAGGGGCGAGGACAGGTGTGAGGGGCTGTTAGAGCGGGGAATGCGGCACGGCGGTAGGCGCGCGGTCGATAATGTAGATCCGCCCCTTCCACCTCTCTCTCTTCGCAAAAAGTTCTATCTCCCCGTGTCCGGCCTCGTTATGAAGGGAAGGGACACTACTGGGAGCGAGCCGCTCTCGATGAAAAAGCTAGTCTGGAGATCTAATGGCCGCGAGGCCACAGCAAGCCAACAGAGGCGATGTCTTTATCATTGCCATGGTCCGATCCAGAATATGCCGTCCCGATAAGGAACTATCAACCACGTCAAACGGTAAAACATTAATGGATGAATATGGTTTAAAAGTACAGAAACAGGACTTGAACTAAACAACTATATTTTGGAAGAATGCCCTTTTTACACCGCAAGATTAAAAGATGTTGGAATACCCCAGAATATATCAGCATCTCTGGGAAATCAAGAAGAAATCGTTACCAAAGTCATCAAGTTCCTGGATAGTGAAAGACTTAAAAAACACATTTGACAAGCTTTTTTTTATTTTTTTTTATTTAGTAATTTTTTTTTATCTATTTATTTTTATTCTATTTTCTCTTATTATTATTATTTTTTTTATTTTTTTTTTCACTTGATTTCATTTCATTTTAAATTCATTTGTTTATTAATCTCAATTCATTTATTGATTCTACTACTATTTTTTAAAGTTTATTTATTTATACATTTTTTATACATCTTATTACCTATAAATGTCTATTATTATCCTTATTTTTTTTTTTTTTTGTACCAACCATCCAAATAGTATTAAATGATGTTATTTAATTGAGCGGGCGCTTATGACCTGGATGTTTTGCGCTTAGACATCGAAACAAACAAACAAAACAAACAGAACTTGAACTAACTATGTAAATAATAATGGTGATTTAAGAAGTTGTTTGGGAGTGCGGTCAATATATTATATAATATATTATAATTAGAGACCGAATTTTCGTGCAGTAAAAATCCGAAAAACGTGCAGCAAAAATCTCAAAATGTGCGAAATCGTACAGTATAAATCCAAAATACGTAAAATTGTGTAATCAACACCTAAAACCGTGTAAACAATCATCAATATTGCTTAATTTATAACATTAATACATTGAAATCTTACCATAACTTGAGTTAATCGTCAGATAAAAAAAAAAATTTAAATGTAACATTCAAAATGAAATTCCGGATTATAATAACGATTATTAACAACTAATGCAGAGCATTGGAGGTTTGAAAGAATAAATTAACGCAGGAATTATAGTTGCCTATGTATATATTACATAGATCAGACTAATTTTAGATATATAACTTTTGTTAAAAATAGTAATGAAAATGTTATTTTTAAATAGAGTTGAAGTTTCCAATATTATACAATCCCAAATTTTTTTATTAAAATTAAAACTAATTTGAAATAGAATGTAATGTTTGAGATTTTCGACTGTTCAAAAATTAGAGTTGAAGCTGTTTTTCAATACCACTAAAAAAAAAATATTTTTGGGGATAACGTTCTTTCTAAAAAAAAAAAAAAAAAAAAAAACATTCTATGATAAGACTATTTTTCTCTTACTTGTTCCCCAATGAGCGTCCATCATTGATTTCTTATCATCTGATGATTCATAAGGTGTACAGAATTTTCTCATCAAATTCTTTGTCCTCACATTTCAAATTGGGGTATTTTTATATCCAGATCTTAATTTTTGACGGGAGACTAGATTTTACTTTCAGCAATATATTTTTTTTTTATAAGAATGAAATTTCTACAAATCAATTTAAATCCAGAAGTGATACTGAAGGGTTGAATGATGAGCGAGGATTCAAGCCAAAACAATAACTACAAAGTCCTTACTAACAAAGCAGCTAATTCTAGCAAAGCAGCTTTTTATTATCCAATACTTTAGGCAAGTTCTATTCCAATAATAGATCTCACTTGTGTTTTAATTCTTCCTTTTGTAATGAATGCAATTTTTGCTTCATGCAGAATTATTTGCTTTCCTTATATTTTTCTATTTTGAATAATTAATTTAATTTGAATAATGTAGTAAGATAAATATTAACACAGTCACTTATACATTTGTATTTATAAATCGTCTAATTTAGCACAAAAGTGCAAAGATGTGCAATTTAGTGCAACAAAAATCAAAATCGCGCAATTTAAGCCAAAAACGGCAAAACGTGCAATATAAAATTTAAATAAGTTATTCTATAGATTCTGAAACGGCTAGACATGCAAGCGAATAAAAAGTGCAATAACATGGAAATCCGGTCTCTAATTATAATAGTATTTTATTGTCTTTGTCGAAGTTTCGATCAATAATAAAGGTCTTCATCACGGTTTTTCATCTGACATTTTCGGAAAAAGTTAGGAGATTAACCAGTATTCTATATAATAAAACTATAATATTATATGAGACTTTCAGTTGACAGAATGACCAACTCCAATTTCAACATTTTTGGTTAGTAATTTTAGTGATATTTCTAGAGGGAAAATTTATACCTTTATTATTTCAACGCTGCAATCACCTAATCTGGAACCAATTGACGAACTGTCTTGACAAATATATTATAAATTTTACAACTACAAATATCACTAAAATGGCTTTACTCAATTGGCGTAAGTCATTCTGTCAATTGAAAGACTCATATATTGACCGCACCTCAGACCAACGTCTTCTCAAATAGGTAAATAATAAATTAGCATTAAATAAATTCATTTATAAGTTTAGAGATTTAGTAAAAACTCTTCATAAGTATAGAAATACAGAACCAGAGAGTTCCCTTTCGGCTAATCATATATTATTCCCATTTGCATCATTCCACTACAAACGTAACTGTTTTATTCATTACCCTTGCTTTCATTATGATAATTATTTCCGAAAACTAATATAGCGATTTAGTAAGCTATCTCCTATCTTGTCAGTTGAATCAATGCAGATTGTACAAATATCGTAACAAAAACCGTAATTATACAATTCTTGAATCGAAGAATAATGTTCAGTACATTGGTACAGAGCAACGTACAGGACTGCTTAGTCCCCGTTTCGCAATTTAGAACCTATGAGTGGCAGAAAATGTATTCTCTGTTATATCAGGTAGATAAATAATCTAGAAAAGTTAGAACTTACCAGCAATTCTCATGAAAAAAAAACATGAAATTTCAAGTCTGCATTGCTATTTTTATTACTATTAATTTAAAGTTAAAATGACTTGTTTCAATACGAGCCAATTACGCATTATGAATATTGCTATAATTAAATTTAAAAAATCTATTTTTATAATATAGGGAATAATCGAGAATAATAGGGAATAATCGAGATATTTGTATGCTTGCTGACGCACAAGATTTAAATATGTTCACATTTTTACAACACATCATTTGTCTGTATAACCTTTTATATCGTAAGTTGCATCAAGTGGTGGAAGAAGGTTTTATAGTGTGGAAGAAGGATTATAGTGTGAGTATTAATTGTAATTTATATCAAAAAAATAATAATACAAAAATTTGGTTGAAAACGGTCATTTTTTTTTTTATACATCTTATTATTATATTATATTAGGACTTCTTGACAAGGTTTTACCTGGGAATATTAAAAAATAAATATTTTCATCCCATTTGAATAAGCCTAGAATGATGAATATGGCACTGAAGGAGATGGATTGGCGGCTTTGGTCCTTCCTAGTTCTTCGAATCGGAGGAAAAACCTATATTTCACATTTTGTTTACACTTTCATTCACAATTATTTTTACTTTCCTACCTATACTAGGTAACGAAAGTATTGCAATCGGGTCAAATTTCCGACATGCGGTTTTCGACGGATCTATACGTTTCACAGCCCCCTGAGTCCGAAAAACACATTTTTTTTTATACATACTTGATGTGTAAATGTTTGCTAAATAAATTTTATAATTCTATTGAAGTCGCCTGGCTATGAACGGTCACTGTACAGAACCGGGCAATCTGAATTCACACTCCACTAACTTCTACTACTTTTTATGTCATGATATGAATGTTTCTAAAATCGTCAGCTTTCCCGTTGGAATGTATTATAAATATATGTTAGTACTCTTATTTCCGAAACTTTAGAGTCATAATTAATTATTGGTCACTTTCTTACTCATTATCATACACCATTGATAAACACTAGAATCTACAATAAAATAGATTGCTGTCATTTATGCTATATTCAGACTGATAAATTAAAGATGTAAATGTTTTATATAACTTGGGGCATTAGAAAAAAATAGAAAAGAAAACCTAATCTTAGCGGTGGAACAGATATTCCCACGGTATATGAAAGAGGAAATGTTTTTCTTCCAGGTAAAAGGGCAATGAGAAACGGGGATAGGGAAAGCAAGCCTTGGGCAAAAATATCAAATCGTTCTTTGGAACTCTTCCACTCGACAAAACATAAATATTTAGCGAACCAAATATTCATGGCAGTGGAACCTCCTCTAAAAATATAAATTAACAACAAATGGAATATAAACCTTTAAAAATATACTGCTCAGAGAATTATCTTTCTTGAGTGATTCTTTAAATAAAATGTATATGGTTTAGAATACAACTAACGGACATTTTATATCTATAAAATTATTTTCGTTGCGAATCCTAATAGATCTTTTGTAAATCAAGATAATTATCGATTCTAATGTAAAATTAACCCATGGTACAATTTCTTTTTTGTAAAACGAAGCTAAATACTTTTTTTTAAATGGTTTGAAAATAAATTTATAACCGAAACCAGCTATTTTCTTTTCAAGGAATGTAATGAACTTGCATTTCTCAATTTTTCTTAAAAAAATAATTCATCAAAATTTGTTTTATCACTTTATTCAAATAAAAATTAAAAATAAATTAAATTTATTTTATACAAAAATTTAATTTTTTATAGAACAATTGTTATAAATTTTTTCTCCCCGAATCATACACCATTTTGGCTTTACAAACCGAATCCCAATCAATTTTTTTTTTTTTTTTTTTTGTACAAAAACGGTCACATTGAAGTTTCAATGTCTTTTAATTCTACCCAAATAACTTTGACTAATACACGCCAGCAAGAACTCAATCATTCGAAAGCTGTACCTCTCCCCTGATGCACCAGCGAAACATAATCATTCCTGAATAAAATATAATATTATAAAAATAGTCTGTTCAACACACAAAATCAAAAGTAACAATTTACTCGATAGCTTGTTCTAATTGAAAAATATCCGCCCAGTTAAATAGTTAAGCAAAAAAACACTGCTATTCCAGACCATATACTAAT